GGGGGGGTACTTTTAAAAGCCACTATACAGTTATTCTTTAACTTGGACCCAAAGCTTAAAGCACAACCCAAAGCCTACACATGAGAAGACTTGTTGACAAGGTGTCGTCTTTACAATAGAAGCGATTCTGGCAGCTCAGCTGCCGCCAGATCGCATCTATGGGCCAGTAACGTGCCTGACTTCCCGCCAGGTTTCCCGTGCTCCGCTGCCCCTCCTGCAGGCCATCAATCGGCATGTTGGGTGCCAGCGGGAAGCTGGGGAGGAGAGTGGCGAACCCCCGATCTCCTCCCCGCTCTATGCGACCAGGAGCGATGCACATTACATCACTTCCAGTCCATCAGCTGTCATTGCTCGGCTCCTGAACCCGAGCAATAGGCTATTAAAGTGTGATCTGCACTTCAGTAGCCTATTTAAAGTGGAAAGGTGACACCAGGGGTCTTTTGGACCCCTAGTGTCATCTTAAAGAGGACCTATTACCACCAATATACTATCGTATAGGGGCATTGTAAGCCCCCCTATGTGATGGCAATTAGAGTGAAAAAAAAAGTGTTGGTAATAATATTAAATAAAATAAAAGTAGAAATAATTTCCAATTTTTTTTTAATGTCCTCTGCAAACATGCGTGTTCACTTAAACATGCGTTGGGTGCGCCTGCAGACAAAAACGTCCATCGTGCTACACCTTGGCTATCGCCGCACACGCCAGATCATTCTAGGGCCAATATTTACACTCCTCTCTAAACTAATGACCTTTAGGGGCTTTAAAGCGTCGTCTATGGACTTTTTGGGGTACTGAATTCTGTCGTTTCACGGACAATTTTTAACCTAGACATGTTGGGTATTCTATTTACTTGTCGTAAACTCATCTTTTATATTTTACAATACAAATGGGTATTTATATTGTGTTTTGGGGCACTACATTTAAGTGCATTTTCCACAACATGTTTGGATTTATAAAGAGTTGCACTAATATTGTGAAACATAAAAAATTTGCAACTGCCCCCATTTTATTCTACAGGGCTTTCAGAAAATATATACTGTTTGGGGGTTTGAAGCAATTTTCAGGCCTAAAATGTGAATTCTAACGAGTGCAAAAAATGGAAAAAAAGTACGGCTGGTAATGATTAAAATTTTCGTGTTCGATTAATCGAAAAAATTTTTAATCGATTAATTATAACGCACATACAGATCCAACTACATTGGCCTATACACATACAGCACAGCAATGAAGTAATAAAATGAACTAGGATCACACAAATCCAGCCCGTTATTAATCTCACGTGCCCCACTCAATATGGCCGCCGCTTGAGTGGGTGTCAACTCAGAATAATAACGTGCTGGATTACAAATGTATTTACATAGTAAAACAGCAAAGCCCTAAGGGTGATTTAAGCATAAATATTAGCTTAACATTTGAAGTAGCAGCACCTGTCCATTTAATTTCATGTAAGGACCTTGCAACATAATATCAGTAAATTTCAATGGGCACATTTGGGTGGGGGGGTTAATGGAGAGCCACATAGTGCGCATATATAAGTTTCAGATAAGACATAAGCTTTGTGCTTCTTGGGGCAAACTCACCGGCTCAAGTGGCTCCGTCGGCTAACGAAGGGAAGGGGGGAGGAGTCCGGTGACGTCACGGACATCGTCCAGATCATTCTAGGGCCAATATTTACACTCCTCTCTAAACTAATGACCTTTAGGGGCTTTAAAGCGTCGTCTATGGACTTTTTGGGGTACTGAATTCTGTCGTTTCACGGACAATTTTTAACCTAGACATGTTGGGTATTCTATTTACTTGTCGTAAACTCATCTTTTATATTTTACAATACAAATGGGTATTTATATTGTGTTTTGGGGCACTACATTTAAGTGCATTTTCCACAACATGTTTGGATTTATAAAGAGTTGCACTAATATTGTGAAACATAAAAAATTTGCAACTGCCCCCATTTTATTCTACAGGGCTTTCAGAAAATATATACTGTTTGGGGGTTTGAAGCAATTTTCAGGCCTAAAATGTGAATTCTAACGAGTGCAAAAAATGGAAAAAAAGTACGGCTGGTAATGATTAAAATTTTCGTGTTCGATTAATCGAAAAAATTTTTAATCGATTAATTATAACGCACATACAGATCCAACTACATTGGCCTATACACATACAGCACAGCAATGAAGTAATAAAATGAACTAGGATCACACAAATCCAGCCCGTTATTAATCTCACGTGCCCCACTCAATATGGCCGCCGCTTGAGTGGGTGTCAACTCAGAATAATAACGTGCTGGATTACAAATGTATTTACATAGTAAAACAGCAAAGCCCTAAGGGTGATTTAAGCATAAATATTAGCTTAACATTTGAAGTAGCAGCACCTGTCCATTTAATTTCATGTAAGGACCTTGCAACATAATATCAGTAAATTTCAATGGGCACATTTGGGTGGGGGGGTTAATGGAGAGCCACATAGTGCGCATATATAAGTTTCAGATAAGACATAAGCTTTGTGCTTCTTGGGGCAAACTCACCGGCTCAAGTGGCTCCGTCGGCTAACGAAGGGAAGGGGGGAGGAGTCCGGTGACGTCACGGACATCGACGTCACCGGACTCCTTCCCCTTCCCTTCGTTAGCTGACGGAGCCACTTGGGGAGTCCGGTGACGTCACCGGATCTCCGACGGAACTCCCGGAAGGCCTGGAAGCCGGCGCAGAGGTGAGTACCGATCAAAAGCATTTTAATCAATCAAAAAAATTAACGATTAATCGAGTAAGTAATCGTTAATTTCCACAGCCCTAAAAAAAAGGCCTTTGCAGCTAAAGAGTTCTTATGGGGGTTTAAAAATGCAAGTAAAATCACTAAATATATTCTGTTCACAGCTATCCAGTAACTGACACCTTCTGAATTTTGTCCACTACATCATTATATGGAACTCCATTTTTTTGCTGCAAATCAGACCTATTCCTGCATTACATTCCAAAAAAAAAAAAGCAGCTCCTATTTCTTTCACATATACGTGACTAGTAGAGATATAGGGACTCTAAAGTATTTTAACAGAAAGGATTGTTTGTTTTTCAGATTGCTTTGGATTATATTTCAGATACAAATAGACGTTAATAAAGTTCTTTCCCTTCAAGTATCTACATTTTAAGCAATGACATTACTAGTATTATATGTTTCAATATGTTATTGTAATTTTAAGAGCTGTTTTCAATTTTTTAATTGATAGTTTTCTTTGAAATAATACCTGGTGATCCTGCCATGAAGTTCCTTGTTCAGACACTTCCCGAACTGTTATAGAGTGAGAGTGCTCAAACCCTCAGATGCCTTTTGTTTTATGTTATTGGTTCTTGCATTTATTGTTATTTATGATTTTATTTTTTTTTTGGTTTGTTTTTCTTATGTGCAGCCACATGTGATTGTTCATTGTGCAGCAGAAAGGAGACCAGATATTGTTGAGAATCACCCAGAATTTGCCACCAGGCTAAATGTTGAGGCATCTGCAAATCTTGCCAAAGTAGCAGGTATGAATTGGTTTACCTTTGTCCTGCCGAGTGTAAACATGTCACAAACCTATGCAGTTGTAAACATGTCACAAACCTATGCAGTTCAAACTATTTATATCTCCTGAGCCTCACTGTTGGTTAGTAAGGCTGCCCATCTATTTAAGAATTAACCCTTTCGCTGCCACCGACGCAAGGCTTACCGCGGAACACAACAGCTTGCTGCTGGCCACGTCAGTAAGCCTTACGTCGGTGGCTTTCACCCTTCTGCTATAGGCTCATGGTCGCTTTAGCAACCGGTAACTTATATCAGAACGGTCCCCTGTAAAATAAGTCATCACCGGCAGAAGAAGCGCTGCCTGCTGTCAGGATGGCCGAGCGAGAGGAGCTGCAGCTTCAGGATGGCTGAGCGGGGAGCAGAGACGCTATCCTTCAGTTTCAGGATGATGGCGGCTCTGTATGTGGCTGAGCGGCGTATTGGTAAATATCTGTGATATTTACCGATTCTATGTATCCCCAGTTTACAAACATTGGATCACTCCAGTTTTTGTGCTGCACATAGTACTATGTGTGCCCAGTTATAAATGAACAAAGTGCTTTACATCACTTCCTGTTCATTCATGAGTTCCTGAATGGGGAGAAGCAGTTCAGTACAGAGGCTTCTACCATTCCATACCTGGTTGATAGTAAATATTTATTATCACCAGTTTGTGAATGAATGGGAAGCCTCTGTACGGAGTGCTTTCCATTCATTTAGAACAGAGGCTGCAGAAAAAGAGATCGAGGAATCTGTGTCCTCAATATATTTTTCTATTTTAAAAGGGAAATGTCTGGGGTCTGTTTAGACCACTGATATGTCCCCGAATGTATGCCTGCATCATTTTATCATAACACGCGCACAAACAATTTTTAACATAAGTTGCTTATTTACGTTCCTTCATTTTTTTACCGCTTCACAAAAAGGCGCAATTTTAAATGTTCTAATATTTGTTATTTAATATCTTTTAGATTTAGTCGAAAATAGTGTTTTTTGTGTGAACTAATACTGATTTTAGTGTTATTTTATCAATTTAATTGTCTATTTTTATTGGTGTAATATTGATTTAATTAAACATTTGCGCAATATATGGTTTTGGGGGTCTTTTACAAACAATAATAGCTGCAGTTGAATTAGTTTTTTTTTAAAAGGTGAAAAATTGCAAAAATTGTGGGGCCAGCTGAGGATAAAAGTGTTTCCGGAGGGCTTGGCAGCGAAAGGGTTAAATGTAGACGCATAACTAGGAGCACCAGAGCGAAGCAAAACTTTTCTGGAAAGGCAGCTTTTGGACATATACCTTTTTAAACATGCTGCGGTGAATAGTGTGTATTGCCTCAATATAAAAGAAGAGTACCACATGCGAATATTAAGTACTTAGAAAATTGAACAAAAAAGAACTAGTTTCATTGGAACCCTGGCGGACTTTAATGGCACACATACAAATTTATTAAAAGTTAAATCCTTTTATTAAGTTCAGCTACAGCGGTACAAATTACATTAAAAATCATAAAACCGAGAGATTGTCTCGCTTGGCCTACTCATTCAGTTTGTTTACAATGCGTTTACATTGTTATATATGCATACATACATTTTGTGCAGTTTGTATAATTACAAAGGCTCAAAGTGAGGACCTAAAAAGATCCCAATGCGTTTGACAATTTCCAATCAATTGCTTCTTCAGGAGACTCTCGAGTGCATGTAAAAACACTTTCACTGAATAGCTCTCGAGATAGACAACACATAAGTGTCTGTGATTTCATAGAATATATGTCAAATGTCAAATCATATACCTCCTTAGAGGACACATGTTGTCACATCTCCTAAATTCAACCGCCAATGGTGACAGGAAGTCTCCCCTCCGGTGGACACGGGCACAAGGAAAGAAGGGGGCTGGACTCCAAACAACTCAAAAATCAGCTAAAGGTATAATGATATGCGTGCAACCATAGTGCTAATTGAAATCTATCCTACATGAAGATTCTCCCCACCATCCCAATACCCCAATTTAGTCAGAGAAATCACATTCCCCTGTAGTCAGTGTGTGAGGCAATTCCCTCCAGTAATGGGGCACCAGCTTACACAACGGTCATGCTGCAGTGAAGTTATAAATCAAGTGTATTAAGCGGGTTTGTTAAGATAGAAATGTACAGAAAGACATGCCATCTTTTTCGGAGCTCACTATACAGCTGTCCATGTCTCTTCCTTCATACTGGGGCCAGCATCTGAAGGACTAAAATAATTTCTTCACATGGATTATGGATAACTCTATATGGGCTCATGTAGGGGACTGAGTTGAATTAATTACTGAAATGTTCTGTTTCATGAACAACTTCTGTGAGTGTTTGGACTCATGGAGACATGGATATCGCTAATCTTGAAACGATTAAAGAAGAACTCCACCCAATGCTCAGAGCCAACTTGTTCTTAGACCGTCCTTCCACCTTCTCTCCCCCTCCTCTGCAGCGGTCTAAGGTCCCATACATTATCGCGTTCTATACACTGTGTATAGACGTGAGTAAGATGCCAATGCTGCAGTGGAGGAGGAAACAGTCTGGAGGGAGTGCTGTGACAGTTGGCCGGCTTAAAGCTCTTCAGGTGAGTATAACTTTTATGTACCTAGACAAAAAGGAGCACTGTTTTAGTTAAAAAGTTTTCATGGAGTTCTTTGACCTGAATTCCTCAGTACTTAAAACACTATGTTGATAAATATATTTTGCCCATTTTTTTGTACCAAAGCTGCAGCTGGAGCATTCCTGATCTACATTAGTTCAGACTATGTCTTTGATGGATCAAATCCCCCGTACAGAGAGGAATCTGTGCCAAATCCCCTGAACCTGTATGGTAAAACGAAACTAGAAGGAGAGCGAGCAATCCTGCAAAACAGTGATAGTAAGTACCTGTCAATTTTCCTGTGAAATCATTTTGCAGCGTAGTACCGTATTCATTTCTGTAATCCGTGTCATTATTTACTATAAAAGATTAATAATTATGAATGAATAAAAAGATTTAAAAAAAAAAAAAAAAAAGATTAATAATTCATATTCTGTGTACTTCCAGGAAGTGTTTTATAATCGTCAATAATTTGTCATTGTCTTGTCCAATAGATGCTGCTGTGCTCAGAGTTCCTGTGCTATATGGGGATGTGGAGAAACTAGAGGAGAGTGCAATTACAATACTGTTCGACAAGGTGCAGTTCAGCAACAAATCTGCTAACATGGACCATTGGCAGCAGAGATTTCCCACCTATGTAAAGGACGTAGCCACTGTCTGCTTCCAGTTAACTGAGAAAAAAATGCAGGTGAGAACCGATACTAAACCTCTTGTCTCCCTTACAAATACACTTGGGGGCACAATTCTAAAGCAGCGGTGTAGCCCCTGTTGTGGGCGTTACAAATGTGATTAGCTCTTCATTCGCTTTGAGATTCCAAATGCAAGCCAAGCTCCATTTGTTTCAATTAATGGTGTAAAGGGTGCTGGGAGTTCTTGTCAGTCATGTGACAGGCCTTTTTTTTCATGGGACACTGCAGGCTTCACACTGCACCCTGCATTTTTTTAAAGACTTGCAAAATGCTGGCTCAGTCTGGAATAACTACTGCTGTGTGCAGCAGATAAGGTATCTGCTCTCTATTATCATTGAAAAATAGAATTCTGATCCAGTTGGTACCCTTGTCACTGCATATTTTAGTTCCAGGAATTACCGTAATCTAAAGGTGTACAGGGGCTAGACCAGGAGACCAAACCATTTGCTATGTGTAATGGAGACCATGGTGGATAAAAGTGGAAGATATTGAGGTCATACTTCTTCAGGTAACTTCACTTAAAGCGATATTAAACCTTGTTCTTTTTGTTTTTTCTTTTTATGGTGGCCAGACTTGCTAAAAAAAAAAGAGTTGTTTTATCCTTTTTTTTTTTTAATTATTATTTCCTTGCCTCCAAGAAGGTCGTCACCAATTCCCCCCTGTGCAGGTGCTTCCATCAGCTAGCCAACTGCTGTAACGGCACCTGTGCTGTGTCCATAGACCCACACAGCGTGCGGCCTGTCACGCCCCCACCCTTGCAGTCATAACTTAACTGACAGCAAAAGGAGCCTATGGCTCCTCTGCCCTCAGTACCCTCCCCCACAAACAGGAATTTCTTTTTTTTTAATTTTAAGTCCTCCTCCCCCACATACACATGCAGATATGAGTCAGCTGCGCCTACGTGCGAAAACAACAATTGATCCTATTGTACTGCACATGTTACATATAACCGCAAACGGAGTGAGAGAGCAATAATTTTAGTGCCATTAATTACTGATAACACTAAACTAATGAGCGGTAAAAGCGTCGCCTATGGCCAATTTTCAGTGTGGTCGTTTTTTGCGATTTTGCGAGCGCACGCAATTTTAAGGCTTGACATGTTTGGTGTCTATTTACCCGACGTGACCCGATCTTTTATATTTGACCAAAAATATGGGTAAGAATAGATGTTGATATAACATAACGTAGGGAAACTTTGTTTTTTTTCCAAAATGTCGGTACTTTTTTCATTATATAGTAAAAAAAATAACCCCCCACAGTGGGGATTAAATACCACCAAAAGTAATCTCTGTCCATCCCCCAAAAAATTTAACATAAATTGCAAAGCTATAGTCTGGTCATGCTGACTGGTGACATTTTTGAGTGACTGGTGAGACGCATTAAAATTTTTCAAGCCCTGCTCATGGTACATGATACCCCTCAGTGTTCCTCCTGCCCAGAGGAAATTCTGAACCTTCACGGTTGAGCCTTGACTGTGCCCTACCTAGATAAGGACCTGGTTCTCAAGGTTGTTTGGGCACTGCTGCTACTTCTTAAAGTGTAATTCCAGTTTCCCAGTAGTCATACTTTTGGGGGAGATGCTGTTATCTCCCCTCACCCCCCCTGCAGTCGGTGTATGGGACAAAGTATTGCAGCCTGGTACTCTGTATATGGAATAATACTCACCAGTGGCGAGCAGTCCTTGGTCAGCACAGTCACCTGGCCATGCTGACCAATGAGAAGTGCTTCTTGCTATGCTGTGTATAGGATATCCACCGGCTGCAGCAGAGAGGAATGGCGGTTCTCCCAAAGGTATGACTACTGGGGGAGCCAAAGGGGACCAATTTGTGTGGGTATGTTACTTCCTTTTTTTTATTTTCCAGGAGCCTTCACTGATCAAGGGAATTTATCACTGGTCAGGGAATGAACAGATGACAAAGTATGAAATAGCTTGTGCTATGGCTAATGCGTTTAATCTTCCTAGCAGCCACCTGAGACCGGTAAGTATATTTCATAAACTTTTAATGACCACGAGGTGTAGCTATCTAGCATGTATAAATGGGTGCACATGGTTACAGTAATGTACATGTATGCTGTGATATTCAAATGATGCCTATGTGGTATTAAGGGACTTGAAATGTGCCAAAAAATGTATTCTCCACAGTATTTCAGCACCACCATCAGTCTAAGCAGTTGAGACGAGATTGATTTCTACTGTGTATGTCAAAATTCTGAGCACCTGCACTCATCACTTCCAGATTATTTAATTAAAAGTGGTCATTCAAGTTTGAAAAAAATCTGACCCTTCTCATAAACAAGGTTTTTTTTTTTCAACCATAGAGCCACACTCACTGATGCTTTTTTTTAGTTGGTTGTGCCATTGCCTATAACATTTAGAGACTGTAGTGGATTAAATACCTAGGTTAGCAGTTACTGAGACATTGTGCTTGTACCAACAATGATTCAGCAGTCGAAGTTGCATAGAACACGCATCTTCCCAATTCCAATGTTTGGTCATACAACAACTGAACTTTTGAACATAGTGAATGGCATCTTGACATATCTGCATTGCAGTAAGGAACTGCCATGCGTTGCGGCACCAGCCCTTACACACAAATGATAAAAGCTGCCGTAATACAACGCACAGTAACACTGCACTGCAGTGGACTGTCATGAAGGTAATGGGCCCTTATATTTAATATCTCGGTGCCTTGTGTTTTGAATTGGGGCATAAAGGAATGATTTGCATGGTCCTCCCCACTGCACTGAAATGAGGAATAATCACTTTTATTGATTGTACATCACACAGGGAGTTAAATTATTTAACTACTGGGTTTTGCAGCTACCCTCCATTGTTGGACACTGGCCGATCAATCAAAGCTGCAGGATAGCCCTGCAGCCCTTCCACTCCCAGCCTTCCTGTTTTTATTTGTTTGTGTCCTTAGTTGATGGGCACCTTCTGAAGTACACCCTCTTGTTCTATATATTTAGATTTTTTTTCTACAAGATTCTTCTTGCATGTTTCCCTACATGCTGATCTAAGCCTCTGCCGCACCTCAAGCAGATATCTGGATCTGTTTTTGCCTTGGCAGACTGTACCCAGACTGGCTGTTGAAGCCCAGGTTCTAAAGGACAGGCCTTTCAGATCCTGTTTTTCCTACAATATCTAAAGCTAGGCAATACACCTCCCACAAGGTCAATTGCATCTAGAAGGCTTAATTTGCTTACTGTAAAGCAGGGAAGTTCCATCTTATGAAGTACTGCATGGGTCTCCTCTATTTTTCCTCCAGTGTGGCCTGAACCAGCATTTTGCAATCAATATTATCAAGGGTCCGTTATCTGCCTTTTGAGATTCTCTTCCAAAGAGAATCTCACTCTCTAATGAAGGCCTTTCTTCAAGGGGTCTTCTATAATGTTCCGCCTGCACATGCATGAGACATGTGAATACCTTCTGTTTTAACAAGGCTTTACTGTGCTGTCAGAATCTCAGAAAAACTGCTCACGAGTTACTGCAGGCATAGTTCTTCCAGGAAGGGAGCTTAGGCAATGAGAGGATGTAAAAATTAATAGATTCATGCTGACATATCAACCTTTTACCAAGGTCACGTTCTTGTTATGCCAGAATGGAAGCAAATGAACTTGTATATAAATGTCTCTAAAATCTCCTGCACATTCATCACAGTAATAATGAACTTGGCTCATTTAGAAATCAAACATTTTCTGATTTTTCTTATCTAATCATATTTGATTTAATAAAAAATATTATATATCTACCAACCTGCACATTATTTTATTTTAGCAACAAAAAACCTAGAAGATGGAACGGTGGTTATAAAAATAACATTTTTGTACTCCCTGTAATGTCTATTTCATGAAGTCCGTTAAGGGACACAGAAACGTAGATATTCTTTAACATATGAGTTATACTGCTAACTGCTAGAGGTTTGAACACAAAAACAAAGCCACTCCCTGAATAACCCTGCTTTTAACTGTCATGCCTCAGAATTGTGAGCAAGCAGTACATAAGGCCAACGACACTGAGGGGTGGGACCTGTGTACCTCAATGGACTTAAGGAAAATACTCTTGTTTAAGTGGAAAAATCCTTCTTTTTTTTTTTTTAGCAAACTTGCAAATAACAAAAGTCAAATTAAAGTCGGCATTCCTAATCTGCTTACATGTTCCAGGTCTATGACTTTTAAAGTACTAAATTCTTTAAATCTGCATGACTGCTGGGTTACTATTTATCAAAGCAGGAGCTCAGGCTCTATACTTTCTCACTACAGGTTTCCTTTAAAGTGCACCTGTTCCCACAAATGACACTCAAAATAAAGGTCTTCAATGTGCTTCTTCCTTTTTTTCAAAATGATACCTAGCCGCAAATATTCCTGTTGCTTACATATGATAGGAACCAGCTTTCCATCAGTAGGTTGTTTAGCAGTGCTCACAACCTTTCATGCTTTCACAACCTTTCATGCTTGCTGTTACATCAGCAGCATGGGTTCTTTTTCCCTCCTCTACTTTCTAATAGATTTGCGCCAATAAATGAGATACACAGAAGGAACCTGTGGAAGGCTTTTCTTCATCTTTTGTATGGCATCTCAGCAGTCTGTCAACAGCGGAGAAGAGGTGTTCTCTCCCTCTTTGTGCATCACAGTACTTTTACGGAGCTTTACTTTAAAGATGCAAACAAAATGCACACCCGTTTAGTGTAGCTCCATAAAACTATTGGAACAGACAGAGAGAAAAATGACTGCTACTTCACTGCTAAGAGGAGTGGAGTGTTGCAAAATCACAGTAGAAAAAAGTGAAGTTTTCTCTGAAGAGTCATATAGAGAGAAGCATTGACTTTGGTGTCCGATTAGTGGATTTGAAAGGCTATTGAGCAGAGTGGGCATACATTGGAAGAATTGTTGAATCAAAATGTGACTATTGGTGAACAGTGAAGGTTACCAGACTGCCTGGGGAAGCCAGGGACTGCTAGCCATATCTAGGGGTTTTGGGGACTCCTGGGATGGTGGAACTCGATGATAAAAACATAGTGGAAATAAAGAGCAGAGCAGTTAGAGAAATCCCAGGACAGTGTACACATTGAAGGAGAACAAATACAGGGCCAAGAGAGACCGACAAATATACCAAGTTGGCAAATTGCTTTCACTGGGGTGCAGGGACTGGGAGCATCTTGTCTTTCCCAGAGTTATTGAAAGTGCAGATGGACTTGTGAGACAGGACAGCACTCAAAATGAGATTGCCTAGCTGAACAATTGCATGCAGACAGACACAGCACCAGTAAATATACACCGACTTAAACAGGTGGATTTGATATTGGGAGCAATACACAAACATGAACAGGTTAATTTATAATTGGGGTCAGCAGTAAATGTAAACAGATAGTAACAGAAATCAGAGGCAATGCAAAAAAATCAATAGAAGCGGAAGCCAAAAAAGGTCAGATTACGATATACTAGACAGAAGAGCCTAGCCCAATTACCGGAACAGACTGAGGCTGAAAATGCTTGTTGGTTGAAGGTTGTGTTGACCCACTGTCTTTACATACTGAGCCACTACCCTGGAATAAGTATGCTGGCAATAAAGTCAGACATCTTTGTCTTTATCTGCATACCTGTTTAAGGCTGATTATGCAAAGTACTACAAGAAGAGGATAAGCATGACAGCCAGGCAACTAGAATGTTTAGTAGAGGTCAGCAGTGGTGGCCTACATATATTTTTCATTACAGGATTATTTGAAGTGTGAAGGATTCCAAAGTACTGGTTGTGTGGCTGAGGGTAGAGCCCCTAAATTAAATAGCTACAAACATTGAGCAGTTATGACACAAGTGCATGAGGACACAGAACAGTTCTGATAGGAAAATAAACCAGATTTGAGCAGCTGAAGGGGAAGACGCACAAAACTCATGACAGACTTGGGCTTCAACTATACAATGGGAAACCCTGATGGGGGGGCATCCATAAAATCTGAGCTGATTAGCATTATCTCTTATTGTTTGAATCATCTACTTTAAACCCTGTATTTTTGTTTCATCAAGCTGAGGAAATAAAGAAAAATTCACAGTTTGTATTTCTTTCAGATCACAGATGAAACTGTTGGTGCAACTCCTAGACCTTGGAACCCCCAACTAGACTGCTCCAAGCTGGAGGAGCTTGGCATTGGTCAGAGGACACCATTCAGAGTTGGCATTAAAGATTCTCTGTGGCCATTTTTAGTGGAGAAGAAAATGCGGCAAACTATCTTCCATTAGTTTAGTTCTTTGTTTTTCTGTATGTCGAACTGATTTCTATGTATGTTTGTTTTGCTCTTTTCTTAAAGAAATTTAGTTTGTGTATCTGTGTTATAAAAAATATAATACTAATACAATTTGAGCAAAGTTGTCAGTGACAGAATGCTAGGTGTTTTAAAAGGTTCTTTTGAAAATGGTTAAATTACAGGTCAGTTTGTTGTTTTTTTTCTAGTTAATTGATTAGGTTCTAGGCTTTGGCAAACACAGACAGTAAACCAGCATGTACCAGTTGAGATTTGTAGTCTGTATAATGCCAATCCTGATTTAGTGCTATTATTGTATTATTGGCACAATGTTGGCTAGGTTCAGAATCCTAAGTTCAGCTTTTGGCAGAGATTGAGCAGAGGTGTGTGAATCTATGTAAAAAGAAAATGAATCCAGTAATTCAAAGCACTGCTATATAGTACACATACTGTTAATTAAAACTTGATGCTTGGTTACTCTGTCAGGCCAATTTTAAGGTAGATTTTGCACTGTAGAGGGAATGAATACACAGGTGCTTGCCTTTGTATTAAGTAGTGCTGGTAGTGGGATGTCTTAATCCCTACAGAGCTCAGCTAGCAGTGTGTACAGACCACATAGCCACCACTAAACTTATGGCAATGGGACCCTTCTTGCTGTCTTATTTACTGCCAGTTGCCCATGTAGATTAATATGTGCACTTTTATTGGGATCTAAAAGCATTTCAAGCTAAGGACTCTTCATCCTGTGGCTTGACTGTGGAAGATGAGCACTCTAAGATGTGTGTAAACATACTCAAAAACCGCACTGATCCAAAATGTTTTAGAACCACATAATAAATGAGATTACATTTACAGAAAAAAATATAAAGGACCTAGTTACATTTTATTGTGTTAATGTTGCAGGCTAAACATTTCAGCAACATTTCAGCTGACGCATTTCACTTGTATCAAGCATTATAATGCCTCGTTAAAACACTTGATCTGACATTTTTCACATGCACTAGGTTTGTGAATTAGGCACAAAGTGTTGCATTTCCTATATGATGTAGCAGGTAGCACTCCTCACCTCCCGAAATCTGTATCTGCTCCTCTAAAACCTTATGCCTCTCCTTGCCACAACTGTCAGCTCTTCCTCAAATCCTTGTTTAAGGTGCTCCTGTGAACTCCACTAGTCTTTTTACCTCATGAGCTGTGCTCGCTCATACAATACATGAGATCCTACTTTCCACCTCACCTCTCTCGTCCCATATCTTACTGGTCAGTCTCTTATGTCACTCCATTACACTCATCACCTCACCTTCACCCCTCCCCGCCAATCTTCAGGTCCTTCTGTTATGTTTAGTCTCTAGTCTACTGTTTACTTAATTATTATCCTCCATTCCCCAAACCTGTGTCTGGTGATACGCAACATGCCGGCCATCTCCCCTGCTGGTAGTCTGCTTCTCTTCAGTTTAGTCTCCTTTGTCCTCCCACTCCAAAAAAACTCTGCATTTGAATGAGGCCAAAAGTGTTACATTCCCCAAATGGAGTAGCATGTAGCAGTTTTGATTTGCATATTTCAACATCCCATCATAAATTGTCACTGATCTGACCTGAAGCTGTGGGTTTCTGTACTTTGCAAATTTTTGCTGGTCGCTGCCCTGCTCTGCTCAGTAAATTAATGTCTTACTTGGTTACATCTGGTCATGTACGTTTTTTTTTTATGTTTCTAGTTTGCAATTTGAGTCTTTCAGTTAAATGGTTCGTTGATATCCTTCCCACTAAAAAAAAATATTAAGCCTTACAGCATATTTTTTCTTCATAGTGTCTTTGTCTGTGCCTGTATACTTTTTATGGAATTCAAACTCTTCACTAATTTTTCTACATGCTTAAAGAAAATCCTTTAAAAAAAAAACTTTTTCCATGTTGTGAAAGTTAGCATATTGACTGTAGTATTTTTATCCCTGAATCTAAAACCATTGGCTAGTGTTTCAAAAAAAGCTTCCTTTTTAGCCCTTTAGGATTATTTAATAACATGTAAGTGAAGTGCAGTCATTAATAATACCAGTTAAAATTTATATTTCATTGGTCAGAGCTAAAGTGAAATATGATTGGCTGCTAAAGTGCTTTGAACATCGTCATTACATTTTGCGCTGGCTTGTTGTAACAGTTTGAGCTCTTTTTGACAGCTAAGACTACTTCATGCACAAAAAATAATACCAGCATTCAGCTGTATTAGCCCGCAAAGTATACATAACTTACATCCTAATAAAGATATATAGTAAAGATAATTCTGCAAGGCTATTTCTTATTTAAACCCAGGGGATTCTGCTTGTGTTTCCACTTTTTGTTTATTGTCTAAGTTAAATCTCAAATGTTGCCCAGAACAATCTCCAGTACTTCTCATAACCTGTGACCATGTTTTCGCAACCTGTTATTCTTCCCCAGAATATACTTCTGCACTTTTATGACCAGTCCACTACACCACTAGTCAGATCATCTGCAAGAAAATGATTCTTCTCCCGCATTCAACTCTGAATTTGTCCTTCGTTCCATGATATTTTGTCTCTGGGTCATACAGTTGCACTCACTTCACATAATCTGTGTCCTCTCCGCCAAAACCACCCATTTCTCTCCCTGACACAACTCCTCCACAGATCCTTGTACAATGTGCTCCTGCATGCTCCAGTACACTCTTCATCTTCCACAAGCTTTGTTTGTCCTCTCATTCAATACATGTAATCCCACTGCCTGCCACATCACTGAAGTCCTTGGTTATACTTCATTGCATGTCTTTGTGACTCTATTACTCTCACCTATGGTAATTTGTGTATGCTTCAACACAACCTCTCAACTCTCTTCCTTGCAAGATCTACAACCTCTACGGTTTACTTTTCAGTCTGCTGGCTGCTCCACTACTTTCCAAACTTTGATCTGCAACATGCCAGCCATCTTCCCTGCAGATAATCTACTCCTCTGTGGTTGCTTACTCTTCACCCTTCCACTAAATGATGCACTAAATTGTTACTTCATCACCCTTCCACTAAATTGTGCATATCCTGCATTTAGGGTTCAGTGTTTTGCAGTCTGTCATTCCACTTTCTTGCATTATCTGTAATTCTTCCTGAGATCCTTTGACAATGCTCTACTGGCCCCTCCACCACATTCTTCATCACACTCAAACTGTTGTCCTTGGATCTTTGCTCCCCCAGCACATTTGTAAAGTCCCGCTTAGATACTTGTTCTTCTTTTCTAGCCACTCCAGTAAACTCTGTACTTCACATATCTCTTAAGACCTCTTCAGTCCCTTATCTGCTATCTTGCCCACTTTAGTGCACTGCTCACCTCCTGTAATCTGTGGCTGCTCCTGGGAAACTTCCTATCCTACCTCTGGTACACCTGTCCACCCCTCCTTAAATCCTTGGTCAACAATTTACTATATGTAGCACTCCTCTTTACCCAAAACCTACTCTTTATACCTTCCTCAGATCCTTAGTTATTTACTGGTTGTTCCACTAAACTCCTTACCTCTTGCAATTTCAATCCAGTGCTGTTGTGTTTTTTTTTCTTTTTACATAGTAATAATGAGAGGTCTTCAACTGCCCTGCATGATTTGCTTTAAGAAAGGAATGGGATTCCCTCAATTTAAGTTCAGTTTTCATTAACCTACTAGTTGAAGGTTTAAAGTATGTGCCCTTTGTTAGCAGAGCTGGGTCCTGGGAAATTTTCCAATGTGCATTTTCGTTTGCACACAATGTTTTTTACCTCCCTGGCTACTTGTACTTTGAATGGTTTGCCATTTTTCTTTTTCTTTTGCTAAGACTACTTGAGAGAAATGATACAGGATACTGCCTGTTCATGTTTTTGTGATGTACAATGTCTGATAGCATGTGTTTTTTGCATTAGCCCAAGTACTGTTTTGTATGTTGCAGAATTGTAGACATCATGAACAAATTGTTGATGCTTCCCACTCAAGTACAATGTACTTTTTTTTCCTCAGAATTGTGAGAACATTCTTGTATTTTTAAAAAGTTTTTGTTGAGTATAAAATAAAGTATATTTCTGAAATTTGTGTGAGATATTATGTTGAAAACAAAAGGTTACATATGAAGAAAGGTTATTATGTCCATTTGTAACAGTTTAGTCTGCTTTATTTGTCTACTGTCCTTACTTTTAGTGTTAAGATAGCAATGCTATAATAATTAAGGATGAAGTCCGCCTTTTAACATTTATCACTTTTCAGTGCCTGTCGCTAATGTGGAAGTGGGTGACTCTTAAAATCGCACCCACACACCGGTAAATAATGTGAAAGTTTTTGAAACTAGACAAAGTTAAACATGCACAGACAGCTCGCACTTGCCATCTTGTGAGAGGCCCATACATCTGACAATTCTCGGTTGAATCTTCTCCAGCAGATAACAGACTAGTACATAGGATTTCTGCAAACATATACAGTCTCTAGTAATTAAGAAATTGGCTAGACCAAGCACAAACTACAATCGGCTCACTCAATTTCTTTAGATGCATACCCCGTATGAGCATACAACTATAGTATAACCATCCCGGTTATGCTGAGAAGAGACTAATGCAACCCAGAAACCCTCCAACCAAATCAGTGCATAGAATAGTAAAGCCTTTTTAGGACAGAAGGTATTTACTTGTCTCATTCTAGGGATGCGCAGATACCAAGTACCGTACTTGGTCCAGCTCCAAGACTAAACTAGAGAAAAACTCAAAAGTTAGGAGGCAGCTGTCATTTTTTAAGGAGCATTGGCTGTAGAGCTCCTGGGATTTCTGCATCCCTATTTTAGTGTGTGTGTGTGTGTGTGTGTGTGTATATAATACCTTCAGGCAATGAGACACCAGCAAATTAATCAAACTATAGGGCAGTCCTGTGTAACCCCTTAGTTTTTTTGCTAGTGTTCTTAGAGTGATGGGTGCCTTCTCTCTGTTCTGAGTGTACACTTTTGTGCTGTTTCTACCGAGGTCTTTTAGCAAGTTTTCCATAATGTTCAAAACCTCCGCCGGAGCGGATCACGACTTAGACGACGGGATCCGCCCAGCTGCGTGAGTGACAGCTGGCTCTGCCTATCTAAAGGCAGAGCCAGCTGTACCCGCCCCGTCCGTTCCGCCAGTCAGCGCTGGCAGATCGGAGAGGGGAATCCAGCCCCTCCCCCCTGTCACGGCAGAGAGCCGTGACAGGAT